AAGGTTGTTCTACTACGCTAAGCCACTATCGGAGTGGCTCCCCCCACTCCCCTCTCCAAGCAGTCTCCTGTTCCCTCCGTTGCAGTAGTTGCTCGCGGGCTGCATAAAAGCCCTGGATGGGCTGGTTCAGGCCCCCCGGCCTTATGTTTGACACCCCTGATCTATATGAAGGCTAAATGCTTGGAATAACACAGTAATTAGAAGGACTACAAATACTTGCACTGAATACGGCTGAGATTAGCTGTGTTTTCCACCTGCAGAAGCAGTCCTAATAAAAGCTTATTTATGGCATTCATTTATCATCAATCTTTCTTGGGGCACAACACAGATTACATAATTTTAAAACAGTTTAATAAAGGCAATTCCTACAGTCATTAAGACTGGAATGCACAATTAGAAAACAACGCAAAAATGACACCACCCACATAGAACGAACAATGCAACAGCACAAGACGAAAAATGGAGAACCACGCAAGGAAAAGCTGCACAGGACATACGACAATGCCGTAAAGCCAGATTACAAAATTAGAAAGCGACACAAAACAGATACTATGATATAGACTATACTGTGCAGTTGTCTTGCTTCCGATGGCATTGCCAGATCAAAAGACAAGCCCGTGCTCAAGGACTGCAGACCACTTTGGCCTCAAAGCACACTGTGTGCTGGGAGGCAACAGGACAAGTTGCATAAACAAAAGAGGTTCATGTGAGATAAATCCCCGCTCTTGTAAATGGAGCCAAGTTTTTATGAGCCCCTTTATCCCAGGTCCAAGTCTTAGATGTGGAATCAGGCATGGGGTGAGTTACAGACTGTACCCTCACAAGGAGGCCTGGGAGAGTTGCCAGACAATGATATTCCTCTTCATCACACCTTAAGAGCTCACAACAACACTTGGCCAGGGTGAACAGAACAGTTGATATTCTTATTTGTTCAGCGTTAGAGGCAACCACGACTGCCAATTTTTAAACTAAGTGATGGACAATGGACGGTCGCAGTGGCAACAGAGCAAAAGATTGCCTACTGCAATCAAAGTGTCCTCACAAAAATATCACACAGGAATCTCACACACAGCTGGTGCAGTGAGTGGCTGAGAGATGGAGCCATGCATCAGGAAGCTCTTCTTTTGAATCCTTCCTCTGCTGTGACCTGGTGCTTCAGGCGCTCTCTCATTCTCAGCCACCCATCTGCAATTGGCAAATAATGCTGATCTACCTTGTAGGGAATGTTTGTGACGCACCTCAAACATGCTGAAGTCTTATATAGAAGTCTAAGTGTTGTACTTGGAAAACAGGAGACTAATTGCCAATTAGTGCAATTATCGCACAATTGCACTCATTTCACACGCTAGCAAGGTCATGCTACAGATCCATAAGCTAGGCTTCAGCAGTATGTGGATAGAGAACGGCCAGAAGTACAAGCTGGGTTTCAAAGAAGTAGAGGAGCTAGAGATCAAATTGCCAGCATACACTGGATTATGGAGAAAGCAAGAGAGTACCAGAAAAACATCTACTTCTGCTTCATTGACTATGCTAATGCCTTTGATTATGTGGATCACAACAAACTACGGCAAGTCCTTAAAGAGATGGGAGTACCAGACCACCTCACATGTCTCTTGAGAAACCTGTATAAGGGTCAAGAAGCAACAGTTAGAACCGGATATGGAACAACTGATTGGTTTAGCATAGGAAAAGGAGTACGACAAGGATGTATATTGTCACCTTGCTTATTTAATATATATGCAGAGTACATCATGCGAAATGCTGGCCTGGATGAATCACAAGCCGGAATTAAGATTGCTGGGGAAAAGATCAACAACCTCAGATATGCAGACGATACCACTCTAATGGCAGAAAGTGAAGAGGACCTAAAGAGCCTCTTGCTCAGAGTAAAAGAGGAAAGCGCAAAAGTGGGCTTGAAGCTCAACATCAAAAAAACTAAGATCATGGCATCCGGCCCCATCACTCCTTGGCAAATAGAAGGGGAAGTCGTGGAAGTAGTGACAGACTTCACGTTCCTGGGATCCCAAATCACCGCAGACTGTGACAGCAGCCATGAAATTAAAAGACACCAATCAACCCTGACTGTTCCCTGGAAGGCCAGATAATGAAACTGAAGCTCAAATACTTTGGCCACCAAATGAGAAGGGAGCACTCACTGGAGAAGACCCTGATGCTGGGAAAGATTGAAGGTCAAAGAAGAAGGGGACGGCAAAGGATGAGATGGTTAGACAGTGTTATCGATGGAGCAAACATGAAACTAAGCAAACTCTGGAGCACAACGGAAGACAGGAGGGCCTGGCGTGATGTGGCCCATGGGGCTGCGAAGAGTCAGACTTGACTGTGCAACTGAACAACAACAATGCCAATTTGCCGTTGCATCCCATTATCAAATTTCAGTTTCTCCCAGTATGGCAAAAGGGATAAGAGAAGTACTACAGATGTCTTCATCCAGTTTGAAGGGAAGAAAGTGGGTGTTTGAACAAATGCCAATTCAGTCTTTAATTAACATTCCCTTATCAACAGAGCTTCCAAACTATGACCAATCCATAATTATGAAATGGTGGCAATGGTGAGATGAAACAAAAGTATAGTGGCACATCTTACAGACTAGCAACATTTATTTCAATATGAGGTTTTATGAGTCAAAGCTCACTTCTTCAGATACACGGGAAAGAAATCGCTTTGGGAATACTTATAGGGACATTTAGAGAAAAGAAAGGCACGAGGAGTCAAGGCAGAGAAAAAATTGGTGTGAATCCCACCAGCAATGTTTCATAAGTGTAATTCTTCATGTAAGGTATTAGCCATGACACATAACAGATCATGAGAGATGTCAGAGGTCCCAGCCCAGCCTGTCTTGGGGTACAAATGAACACAGTAATGAGGCAGAAGAAGTACCAGAGCAATCGATTTGGAAGAAGGATTCTGAAGCTTAAATAAATGAACTGATATCAATACAAGTTTATAGTAAGATGAAACAAGTTAGGAACAGCCAATTAAAGTTTCTAAAAAGTGGGGACGTTTGGCAAGGCTTCTCTAAGGAGAACAAACATTCAGTTGTGAACACCGAACGATATGGAACTGAAAGTTAATGAGTGTGCAATACTTTTTTTTTTTTTTGCTATGCACTAGAACTGAAGAACGGCAGGCAGAATGGTCAAGAGTCCTATCGAGATTGCCGAGGTACCACAAGAGACTAACAATATGGTTGAATTTATGAAATCTTATAGCAAATAAAGACCATTCTTGTTGTTAGCTTAGTGATGACTACAAGGGCAATAAAAGGTCTTTCCTAATACCGGCTATCTCAGATCTTCAATGAGAGATAACCAAGGACTGAGCACGTGAAGTTAACTTGTGCTGAGTTAGATCACTGCTATTCTATCAACAATTTCTTCAGACTGGCAGTTGCTTTCTAGGGACCTCAGTTGCCAACTCCAGAAGAAGAAGAAGAGATTGGATTTATACCCCACCCTTCACTTGGAGTCTGAGAGCGGCTTACAAACTCCTTTCCCTCCCCCTCCCCACAACAGGCACCCTGTGAGGTGGGTGGGGCTGAGAGAACTCTTGACAGAAACGGCTCTTTTTCAAGGACAGCTGTGCCAGAGCTTGTGGCTGACCCAAGGTCACATCAGCAGGTGCAAGTGGAGGAGTGGGGAATCAAACCCGGTTCTCCCAGATTAGAGTCCGCGCACTTAACCACTACACCAAACTGGCTCTTGGCACCACACAAGACTCCAGGTAGGGAATTTATGGGAAATTTGGGGGTGGAGAAGAAGCTCAGTAGGGATGTAATGCCATTAAGTCCACACTCTGAAGCAGCCAATTTCCCCACGGGATTTGATCTGCCTAGCCTGGAGATCAGTCATAATTCTGGAAGAACTCCAGGCCCTACTTGGACACTGGCAACAGATCTTCCACATCCTCTCACACCCGATCCTTTTAACTGGGAATAGCAGGGGTTGAACCTGGAGTTTTCTGTGCACACAACATATTTTACTGCCCAGTGCTTCTCAGACTGTGGGACGCAAGGCTCTGTAGAATGAGATGATGTTGAAGCAGCCTCTCCCTGCCACGTGGCAGGGCTGAATCGTCCCTCTCCAAGGACGCGGTGATCTGCACTGGATTCCTTTACCACCATAAACAGACCTTTGACAAACGTCCACTCATCCAAGACAATCTTAATCTCCCAAGTGTGGCAAGTCCCGAATGTCTGGAAACCATAACTTGCCCTATGAAACACGTTTCAAAATACAAAGGTTGGGGGAATGTAGGGTTGCCAACTGTGGTTTCAGACATTCCTGGAGATGTGGGGTGGTGACTGGGGAAGGAGCTCAGTGGGAGATGTGATGCTGCCACAGAGTCTGCCCTCCAAAGCTGCCATTTCCTCTGAGGGAACGGATCTCTCCGGAGATCACGGTAATTTTAGAACTCCAGGCCCAACCTAGAGGGTGGCAAGCCTAGAGCCTCAGGAACGGTTATGATTACGTAGGGTTGCCAGGTGCCCCCTCGTCACCAGCGAGGATGGTAGGGTTCTCAGATCCAGGTTGGGAAACTCCTGGAGATCTGAGGATGGAGCCCGGGGAGCACAGGGAACTCACTGGAGTAGGATGCCAGAGTCCACCCTCCAAAACATCCATTTTCTCCAGGGGAACCAATCCCTGTAGTCTGGAGATGAGGCGTAATTCTGAGAGATCCCCAGGTCTCACCTGGAGGCTGGCATCCCTAGCAGCGAGAAAGGCCTGTGATGACAGTTACCCATAAATCCCTGGTTTTCTTCACACCAACTTTTCGGAAGAAGCACCCGACTCTCTCGTTCCCTCGCCCATCCGACGGCAGGTGCAGGACACCCCCCCTTTCCTACTCTAAACTACATCTCCCAGAACCCTTCGCGGAGATACTTTCTCATACAGGACCCCTGAAGGCTCGAATTATTAATTCTGCTACTGCCCACCCTCCCACCACGCACCCACCCCCGCTCCCCGTTCCGCGCCCCTTACCTCTTTACGGCGGATTCGCCGCGCCAGTTCTACCCCGGGGACGAGGAGCAGCTCATTTGAGGGCGGCGGGACGCAGCGGACCTTGCGCGAGGGCGAGGACAGGGGGCAGGTGGCGGTGGTGGTGGCGGCGGCGGGGGGACTCGCCGTAGCCGGCGAAGGGGACGGGGCGGCGAGGGCGGAGGCGCGCGCCACCAGCCCCAGCAGCGCCAGGAAGGCGCGCGACAGGAGGCGCAGCACCCGCGCCGTGTAACGCTCCGCGCGAGACCGGGCCATGGCTCCGCGACCTTCCGAAGAAGGCGAAGAAAGACCGGGCCAGGGAGGGAGGAAGGGACGGGGGGAAGAGAGCGAGGGCGAGAGACCGGCCGGCTCACGGGGAGAGGCACTCGAAAGCGGGAGGTCCCGATGCCGAGCCCCGCCTTCCTCCTCCTCCTCCTCCTCCTGAGGCGAAATTGGCGAGCGCCAAAAGGCGCGAGGAGGCCGAGAAGGAAACTACTTCGGCGCGGTGCCGTTTTGTCGCTCGAGGCGCACGTCGGTCCCTCCCCCGTCTCAAAGATGGACGCAGGGGCATGCCTCTGCAGAGTTACAAATCGGGAGATTAATCTCCTCCTCGGCCGCCGCGTGAACTAGGTCAGAAGGAATGTGCTGCTTGCAAACACAATAGCGGCTTCTTGCGAGGGATGCCATCAGGCAGAGAGAGAGAGAGAGAGACTTCGCAACATTTCTGGACGGTTTCTCTTCCCTCGTGGGACTCAAGAGAGGGCATGCATAGGGGGCTCCCGGGCCTCCTTCCAACAAAAGACAGGACTGCCTCTTTCCGTTGAAGATTACCACAACGGACTGCTGCAACTTTTACTACTCTTCAGGGATAACTGGGCAGACCAAGGGAGAAAATATGCCATATCATGCCAGTTTTATCTCCAGCCCACTAGACTGGAGGCTTCCCCAACCTAGTGGACATATTTAGAAATTTAAGACGTGTGGTAAAGCGGTGGCTCAAGTGGTTAAGACGCTGAACTGCAGACTGTGGAAGTAGTTCAGCAGTTCAAGACCCGGGGTGAGCTCCTGTCTCTAGTTCCAGCTCCTGCCAACCTAGCAGTTTGAAAGCAAGAAATTGCAAGTAGATAAATAGGTACCACTTCGGTGGGAAGGTACCAGCGTTCCGTGCGCCTTGGTGTTTAGTCATGCCGGCCACATGACCACGGAAACGTCTTCGGACAGCGCTGGATCTTCAGCTTTGAAACGGAGATGAGCACCGCAACCCTAGAGGCGGATTCGACTGGCTTTCGAGCAAGGGGACCTTTACCTTTAATGGGCCCCACAGCAAAAGGAGGAGTGCCCCTTGGGGCAGAGGCCAACCACAACATGTATTTCAAGCCAAGCTTCTGTTGCAATGAAGTGAAAGAAAGTCAGATGGGTGCCAGGAATCAAATTGGTAGGTGCTGTGGTACCCAGCAGTGATGCCCAGCCCCTGCACTAGGCAATATTCTTTGACTTAATTTGAACCAGTCTCACTGGCTGCTCACCCCAGGCCTGGAATTGTTCGTTAAGAAGAGTGTGCTTCTGACTGTATGTCAAATATTAGGAGACCAGCACCACCTAATCACCACAACCAGCAGAACACAAAAGTTAACAGCTTATTTTTTTTTTAAGTCTGTTAAATATAAATCATTAGCACTTATTAGAAGTTCCAGGAACAGAGGGATCAAAAAAAGTGTTTTGGAACATGAGCAAAAGGCTCAATATATTGCTAAATAGCTACGCCCAGTTGTCAAACAAGCATGGCTTCCATGAGAGAAGAGATTAAAGCACAGCTGAATCTGCATCGGGATCATCTCAGACTTCTCAATACTGTCAGATCTATGTGAAATAATGAACGGCTTAGATGGCTTCAGATCACACGTGAAATTCCTTTACTCCATCAGATCAATGACAGGTGAAGGCAGGCTTCCATGACAGGAGTTTCGAAATATGGATTTAAGATATAAGTCTGAGTGAGATATAAAAGCAGCTAATTAATGAGAGCTAATAGGGTGGCTCAAGTGGCTAAGATGCTGAACTGCAGGCTGGAAGGTCGGTAGTTCAGCAGTTCCAGACCCGAGTGCCGCATGACAGAGTGAACTCCCGTCTCTGGTTCCAGCTCCTGCCAACCTAGCAGTTCGAAAGCAAGAAATTGCAAGTAGATAAATAGGTACCACTTTGGTGGGAAGGTAACAGTGTTCTGTGCGCCTTGGCGTTTAGTCATGCCGGCCACATGACCATGGAAATGTCTTCAGACAGCGCTGGTCTTCAGCTTGGAAACGGAGATGAGCACCACAACCCTAGAGTTGGATTCAACTGGCTTTCGAGCAAGGGAAATCTTTACCTAATAGGCGAAGGCCCTGACATAGATGGCCTAGGCTAGCCCAATCTCAAGAGATCATGGAAGCTGTCCTTGATTAGTGCTTGGATGGGAGACTAAGGAAGCCCAGAGTTTCTACACAGAGGCAGGCAGTGGTAAACTACCCCAAACATCTCTTGACTTGAAAACCCTACGGTAAGTTGACTGCAACTTGACAGCACTTTCCACCCCCACTAATGGAGTGGGAGAGATGAAAGTCAGAGAGCTTAGACATATAGTTGTGATCCACTTTATCAGATGGATGTAGCTTTCCTGAGAGGTCATGCCAAGCATATGCAGTGAGATGAACATTTTTGAAGGAAAAAGAGCGTATATACTTGCTGTGTCTCACACTCAAATGTAATATACCCTTGTATAATTTTTGGTTAAAAGATTACTAATCCTTCCTTAACAGGTGTCTCTCAAGGGACTGGTGGGAAGTTGGCATCTTGTGCCAGCCTGAACACTGGGAAAGAAAATGCAATTTTCCTCGGGTGAGGAATAAATAATAGCAGTCACACAAAAAATAATGTGTGTATGTGCGTGAGGCTTGTCTGCACACACAGAAAAACAGGAAAATAAATTCAGCTGTGTCTCTCAAGGGACTGGTGGGAAGTTGGGATCTTGTGCCAGCCTGAGCATTGGGAAAGAAAATGCAATTTTCCTCAGGTGAGGAATAAATAATAGCAGTCACAAAAAATAATGTGTGTATGTGGGTGAGGCTTGTCTGCACACTGAGAAAAACAGGAAAATAAATCCAGCCTTCCAACTTGCCTGGAAACCAGGCTGAATGTTTAGATTCTTTAAACACACTTGTACAGTTCCGCAGGGCCTGCAAGACAGAGCTCTTCTGCCAGGCTTTTAGGAGCCGCCCACCACTACCACCAACTATTACTGTTGGTAACACCGGGGTAGTTGGTTGGCCCATATGGAGATCGAGCCACAGTAACATACGAGACAGATACGGCTGAATTGGGACTTGTGTCTATCTACAGGATGCCATCTTCAATGTGATTGGAAGATCATTTCTATGTTGAGCAATTTAATTGTAATGATATGGTTGTTTTATCTGGTTTTATAGGTTTTATGTACCCTGGCACATAGCGCCTTTAAATGTAAGCCGCCCTGAGCCCGTTCGCAGGGAGGGCAGGATAGAAACCCAATAAATAAATAAACCTCATTTTTATTCTTCCCCAGTATGCCCCATCCTTTATTTTCTCCAGCCCAGGACTCATAAATACTTTACCATAACTTGAAAGGCTGCTTCTGCTGAGTTTTATGAGAGCAGGTGGAGTTGAGGCTGCGTACACTTCTTTTCAGAAATGGCTAACTCCACTGAATGGTAAGGAAGGCGAATGCTGTGAATTCCCTCTGGAGTAATTATCCAGGATTATCACCTGGTGAAAGAAGAAACACAATGGGGGTGCTGCATAAACAGATGTTGTAAACAAACTACTTGGCTTCTTACATTACTTATAATTTGGTGTTGTACAAAGTTATTAGCATTACACAAAGCTAATTGATGACTCTGAGGAGAAAATCGCCTGAGGTTTTTTTCAATTACTTGTGCTAGTTTTGTCAAAGTTTTCTTATTCACTTGCCACAATGGGTTCTGTCTTCTGGATATAGAAAGTTACATCTAAAGGAGAACAGACTAGCCTAAAATGATTATTTATTTACTTACTTCATTTACGCTTTGTTTTTTTCCCCAATGGGGACCCAAAGCGGCTTACATTGCAACATGCGTTTTCCAAACACTCTGGCAATTGGAACCAAGTGCTTTTAAGCATGTGCAAAATTCCCTTCCCCGAGAGGTGAAAACATTATGGTAGTTTTTCACTGGGTTTGTCTAAAGGCCAGGTATTTCTGAGCATGTTTCCTTTGTGTATAGGACTAGCTGTTTTGAGAAATGGAGCTATAGAAAATGTACCTTGGGCAGTCAGCAGAAGGCTTTTGCCCAATGATGGGAAACAGCACAGAAAAATAATGCGGAGGCAAAGCCTTCACTGAGGTATATAATATTTACAAAATCCGAAAGCAGAAAAATAAATGGGAACACCAAACCATTCCTGCCCCACCTTGCAAGTAACCAGGAGGATGCAATTACTTGTATCTAACAATTAGTGTCTCAGCCAGTTTATAAAACAAGTGCAGAAAAACCCAGAACCAATCTCATAGGATCTCTGCTCTGTCTCACTCTGCTTTCTGGTGCTAAAAGAAAAAAAGCTTACAAACAAGGAAGAGGACCTGATGAATGAAATAGATCCATCATAAAGAAATCTCTGACATTTCAAGTTCCACAGATCACCACTTGCAGGAAAAATAATCAGTCATTTGGAAATTTTGTAAGCATTAAGTGCAGGTTAAACAGCAATCTTTGGCATGGAAGAGATGCTTCACACAAGCCCTACACAGAAGTATTTCTGTTTAAGAATTTCTGTAAACAACATGCACACAAGCTGTGGTCTAAGACTAATCCCTGCTCCTTAGTGCTTGTAAATACAAAATACTACACCTACACACAATGTAGGGATCTTCCCGATTCTGTGCATCAAATGTGTTAGTCCCTGATTCTGATGATAATTCTGTTCCTATTCTAGTCTAGATGTCTTAAAACTGGAAGTCTGCTGGGTAGGCACTATATACACATTTCCACACAGCAGACACCTCTAGAGTTACATTCTTTGCCATGTTTGCTATGAAAGGGCTGTTCACCTGGCTGTCCTGAATCTGACCTACTGCCAGAAGTTTGTAGTCTTGCAGTTAGAGCTTATGGGATGATGAAAATTCATTCTTGTTGGTTATTAGATAGTGTGTAGGTAAGTGACTTGGAAATGGAAGGGCAGAAAAAGTAGTTGAGCTTTTTGCCATGTTTGCTAATGCAGGGGAAAGGAGTGTGTGTATATATATGTGTATATATATATGAAGACTTTACTTGGGCAAGCTGAACTCACCTGCCTCCTCTGTCTAGAAATCAAAACTAGTTGTTGAAACCCAGCTGTGGAATGGCATTCTTAGCAACTTTTGTGTACATACATTTGCATAACTGTCTCAGTAAACCTGGAGCTATGTTTTTTCTGTGTACAGATGTCTGAAAATGTTTGTTCTCCTTAATGGACAATCGGAATTGTAGAGCTTTGGATGACGGAGAAGAAATTTTATCCATTGCATGCACTGATCACCTCAGTCTGAAGGCCCAAGCAAAAGTATGGACTGTTTTCTTGGAAGAATCAAGCCTTACTTTCCTTTTTCTGTTTGCTTAATTGCCACTATCATTTTTACAGAAACAAACTCTAGGACAACTGGCTCAATTTCCCCACTAACTGGGGAGGGGGATACTTCACTCTCTTCTTTGTTTAAATTTACAGCCCAGCTAAAAGACCCCCAGAATCAATAAGAATAAACTGAAGATCATATTTAAAGAGCTTCAGCAGAATTATACCTGCCTGCATTCATGTGTGTCATTCAAAGGGAAGCCCTGATCTCGGAAGCTAAAGAGGGCCAGCCTTGGCTAGTATTTGGAAGGCTGGCTTCCAAGGAATGCCAGGGCTGTGACGCAGAGGCAGGCAATGGCAAGCCACCTCTGAAATGGCTCTTGCCTTGAAAACAAGTCTAGCTCCCCACCTAGTGATGCATAATGCCAAAAGAGCTAGAACTTTTAGCTGCCAGGATCTCCTGGCTATTCTACACATAATGCCATACAATAATTTTATTTAATTATTTTATTAGGCTTATATCCAGCCCTCCCCACTTTGTAGGCTCAGGGCGGGTTCCAACATATAGGTCTGCAATTTATGTAGATTGACATTTAAAATCTGTAAAATCAATAAAATCATTACATACTAAAACAACAATGCCTCATATTATTAATTATTCAAGGGGGGGGTTGATCTTTTTGTTTCAGATTCCAAAATGTCCAAGATTAATACTGGTTAAATATAAATTCAATAGCCTTATAACATCCAGTTTAACAGTCTTGTAACATAATTTCCCTTTGTCTTTTCACAGCATTTCCTGTTTTTACAGAGTTTTTTCCCCTCCTGGAATTTCAAGACATAGGTTTATTCATTCTGATTTTGGCTGGTCAGACTATACAAACCCCAATACATTCAATTCTGTATGTCAAGTGGAAGCATATTGTGTCAATACTGGATGAGAAGCATCTGTGTTCCTGCAGTAAGTAATTTCTTCTGCTATTTTTTTTGTCATCAACAAGGGATATAAACAAATGAGCACATGGATAGCATGGTGGAAATTTATCATAATTAATTTAATTCATTTATACCCCACCTTTTTCTCCAATGGGGACCTAAAATGCCTAACATAATTCTCCATTTTATCCTCACAACAACCCTGTGAGGTAGGTTAGGCTGAGAGCGTGTGACTGGCTCAAGGTCGCCCAGCATGCTTCCAGTACAGAGTGGGGATTTGAACCTGTGTCTTCCATATACTAGTCTGTTAACCACTACCCCACACTGTCTCAGTGAGAGAGATGGTACAGTGAAAGAGAAAGAGGATGGCCCTGGACTCTGGCTCAGACCAAGGCCAGGAAAGTTTGTACCTCTAAATAGGGGTATAAAATTTTATGGGGGGTGGGAATAAACACCAAATCTTGAACAAACAAGAAGCAAGATTACAAATAAGGGCTGTAGTCAAATCCAGTGAAGTGCATCTAATACAGTGGGCTCAAGTCCGCAGAGTTTATGCTACAATACATGTGCTAGTCTTCGAGGTGCCACCAGATTATTTTTTCACTGCATGATTACTAAAACTACTCAATTAGGATGCGTTTCTTTGTATCAAGAGCATCTGTGGCAAAGGTGAAACACCCTGTCTGGCGGCTGCAGCACTAGAATTCACTTCAGAGTAAACCAATTCCCAGAATCCTGTTTCATGAGGCCATTATGTTACCCCACTCTCATAAGATAAATTACGCAGCAGCATTTCACAGAATTACTGAACGCTTGTGCTCTCTGCTAAAGTTAAAGAGTTCCGTCACAAGCAGTGCAGAGACCGATCTTAGCCACATGATGGCACTGCTTCTTGCACTTTCTATATCTTACTGCACTCTGTGTGGTCCTAAAGCCAGTTTCAGAAGACAGCAAAAAGGAAAGGCCAGTTTAGACATTTTGGGGAAGTGGTATAGAAGCCAGTGTCCATGTGGCACAGAACTTCTTTTCAGGTATTAGAATGGAGAAGCTAATTTAGCGTGTAGGTGGAGAAGAAACTTTTATGGCGTAACAGACTATATTGCACGAAACACTAAAATAGTTCTGGCTATAATTAGATTCACTAATTTCATGATCCCCTGACTTGGGTGGCCGAGACTAGCCAAGTTTCATCAGGGTCAGCCCTGGTGAGTACTTGGATGGGAGACCACCTATGAAGTCCAGGATCGCTATGCAGAGGCAGGCAATGGCAAACCACCTCTTTTGCCTTGAAAACCCTACAAAGGGCTACAAAACGTCAGCTGCAATTTGGCGGTACTTAACCCACACATCATTCCATGACCGTTCAGGCCTTTTGCAGCTAGAAAAATATCTTTGCCATCCAGCAATGAAAAGGTGGTTAGCTCAGTATGATGTAGTGATTAAATGCACGGACTCTAATCTGGGAGAAACAGGTTTGGTTTCCCACTCCTCCACTTGCAGCTGCTGGATGACCTTGGGCAAGCCGTAGCTCTATCAGACCTGTTCTCTCAAGGACAGTTCTGAAAGAGCTCTCTCAGCCCCACTTACTTCACAGGGTGTCTGTTGTGGGGAGGGGAATGAGTTTGTAAGCCTTGTAAGCCTCCGAGTGAAGGGTGGGGTATAAATGCAATCTCCTATTCTTCTCTTCATAGGTAATTTCCTGTCTTTCCAAATCTTTTAGGAGACAGAAATGATCTGCTACAGCAGACCTTGCCTTTGATGAAAAGCACTTTTATGTGTTCTGCTGTAAGCATGAAAAAATCCTTCTGCAGTTAAAAGAGAGTATTTCAAGTATCTAATGTTTTCTTCAAAACCAGAACATGAGACCTTTAAAGAGTCTGCATTAGTAAAGGGGAGAGGGAGAGTTGTTTACTTTCTAGATGGTATTAGATCTGCCAAGTGATCAAGGTTTACAGAACAGGAGGGAAATGTGGTAATTCCAGAGAATTATTTAAATTGCAGAGTGCAATCCAGCTCAATATTTCTTGAAATACTCTAACATCTTATTTTGATTTCTAGATGGTATTAGATCTGCCAAGTGAACAAGGTTTACAGAACAGTAGGGAAATGTGGTAATTCCGGAGAATTATTTAAATTGCATAGTGCAATCCAGCTCAATATTTCTTGAAAGACTATAACATCTTATTTTGCGCTAACCGCCCACAAACTTGATTACAGCTGTCCTTTATTGATGGGGGATAGTAGGTTCAGCGTTGCATTGCAACACAATGAATTCTTCCCAGCATACTTAGCATACAAATTAAACCCATGCTATCCTTCAGAAGCGTTATTTATTTATTAAAACATTTATATCCCGCCTTTCATATTGATTCAAGGCAGCTTACAATAATAGTTAAAACATCCCCAGCTAGAACCAAAGATAAAATAACAAGCCCCAAATCCCACCCCTTAAAAGATGCCTGCTATTAAAAATAAACCCAGCCTGCATAGAAAAGCAGTAAAATCTTGGTTTTTATTTTTACTTGGGAGAAATAAATTAAACAAACCATGAGCAAATGAAAGGGTGAGAGTAACCAGCAGTGCAATCCTAAAGAGTTATAATCTGCTAAAGCCGTTAATTTTCCTGGCCTTAGAAAGGTGTCTCAAGCTTGCAAAGAATTATGCCCTTAGGAGCTGCAGATCTGATACCAGCAGAATAGAAAAGGGATCGTTTTAAGTGAGGGACACTCATTCCAAAGTCATCTCTCTAGGTCTACAAAATGCAGCAACATGATGGGAATGAGATGGCAGGAACTGTACTGCTTCAGACTGTGTGTGGAAGACTGGATCACTTGTAGCGCTCCCCCACAAAGTAAACAAAAGCTACTTGCAAGCAACCCCACACCCCAAAAAACTAGAACATCAGAGGGGGAACAAAAATCTACCCCGGCCTTTGCCTGCTGTGCTTGTTTTCGGTGCATGGGGATTTTTTTTTTCTTTTTAAACATGGAGGAACATTCAAAGCTGCAATCCAGTCCCTTCTACCACCCCAGCATTATACCGACCCCATTTTGCTAAAATCTAGACCCAGCCTGAGTTCATTCGTTTCCCACTGATGTGCTGACCTCTGCACGGCTTCTGCATATGCACTTTCCCCACTTATTGGTATCTCCCCTCCCCCCAATATCCTGACCTTTTCAATCCTGTCCCAGCAGGAGTTGCCTGACTGCTGGGCTGTCTGAAGTTTTCAAACACACACACTCCCGTCAAAAAAAGCACATTACTTCAATGAATGCATTTAGATTGGCTGGTTTATTCGTCCCTGCATCCATTCACACACGCATGCTGTGCAAAGCGGTGACTGAAACCACCAGCATTACTACAGTCTCTGTGCACTTAAAAAAAAATGGACTGGCTTCCCACCAACCCTCATTGTGCCAGACTCCTCAAAGTAAAGGCAAAGTGGGATCTTCTTAACCAATGACAGTTGCGCTCTTTAAAAAAATAAATACAAATTATTCCTGCATCGGAAATCAAAGAAAATAGGAGAGGGATCACAAGCTAATGCTCCTGGTGAGAAGTAAAGCTCACTCGCTAACAGTTCCTCTTAACTACTTGAAGAGTGGCCAGGCCTGGAGATCTTCACGTGTTCCTTTTTCGAAAGTTTAGCTGGCATTGTGCCAAGCTAAGGTACTCAGACAAAAGGACCGAGCATGTTATAACTGCCCTCTCCCAGTGAATCCAGTGGTCCCTTCCATCTCTCCATCCATCCGGTCCCGTCGATCTCATAATCCAAATGCAGCTCCCTTTGCCAGCCTCAGTAGTAGGCGTCATCGTACACATCTGTGCGCAGGCAGTACAGGATGGCTGCCCCCAGCATGAAGATGGCGGAGCCCCAGCCCAATCCATATCCCCAGTTGAACTCGTGGTAGCTCTTCAACAGGCTGCTGTCGATGAATTTGATGGGATAAAGAATTAAGGCGCAGACCTGCAGAACCACTGGATCAATGAGACAAATGAGAGGACTGTTAAGGCAAGGAGAATCAATACAATGCACTCTTTATGTTAATTCCCCATGCGGCCTCATCTGCCACCATTAAGGAGCGGGATTTTAGAGATCATTTGGGGCTTCAGCAGAAGTGGGGAGCCAAGGGAATCCCTTCTTCCAGCAGAGATTTGCCACGGGATCGAAGCCCAGTGTTAATTTAGACAAGTGTGCAGGGTGGGGTGGGGAATGCTTTACGTACCTGCTGCGAAGAGGAGCAGGGCAGCAACTCGATAATAGTTCTTGTAGGTACCCAGGCAGAAGGAAATCAGGGACATGAGAAAGGACAGCAGAGTGATGGTGGCTGAAGTCAGAATTAACACCAAAGTAGCTACTTGCCAGTCTGGAAAAGGAAAGGAAACAGATGACATACGAGTCTCAAAGAGTAATCAACAGCAAAGAATGTCTTTCAGCCCCCACTCAAAACTTTAGAGGCAGTCCTGTGGGTTTTTTTACAGTTTTAATGCCTGCTAATAAGGTGCAAAGGAGCTGCGGTGGCTCAAGTGGTTAAGACGCTGAACTGCAGGCTGTGGAAGGTCAGTAGTTCAGCAGTTTGAGACCCGGGTGCCGCATGATGGAGTGAGCTCCCGTCTCTACTTCCAGCTCCTGCCAACCTAGCAGTTCGAAAGGAATAAATTGCAAGTAGATGAATAGGTACCACTTTGGTGGGAAGGTAACAGCGTTCCATGCGCCTTGGTGTTTAGTCATGCCGGCCACATGACCACGGAAACGTCTTCGGACAGCGCTGGCTCTTCGCCTTTGAAACGGAGATGAGCACCGCAACCCTAGAGTCGGATTCGACTGGCTTTTGAGCAAGGGAACCTTTACTAATAAGGTGCAGCAAAAGTCTGAACATCCATTTTGCAGGCATCTGCCAGTCTGCAGCAATGCAAGAGAAACAGAGAATCTAGTTTTCAGAGATGTAACATGTATCCCAGGGAAGCCTACAGAGCTGCAACAATATATGACTGGGCATCCACAGACATCCAAGTGACAGAGTGCGGGTGGTTCCATATTTGCCATCTATTCGGAAATTGCCATTAATATGTTTTAATGGGAAATCCAGATGACATTGTTGGTACATGGCATTCAAGTGATCTCTGATGTTTCTCCTGTCTTCCCCCCCCCCCAGACCTAATTTATGGCAATTAAAAATCTTAAAATGCAATTGTAGTTGCAGGCTATTCCATGTGGACAATCAAAGCTCTTTTTAGACTCTGAGCCCCTTTCCCCTTGCAATTTAATTACTCACTTCCTGTTTCTTGGCATGTATTTATGCATACACTAGCTCTCTCCTGGTATGCACAAACTAGAGGCGGATGTTTAATGTTTTTCCACTTGTAGATAGCCAAAGTCACTGCTCATTTTAATTTTTACGATCATTATTTCATTATCAAGCTATTATCATGGCTTTGGTGGACTACAAAGTGAATAGCAGTACTTAATTCCCGCCACTTTAATTCCCACCCAAGAACTGATGATTAGCTATTAACTCATAATGAACTGATCATTTACTGTTTCAAGAATACTTTCAAAGAACTTGTGGAACCCTAAAGAACAGAAAGTGATTCGTTAATCTGCAAAGAACAAAAGGAAAATTAATAGCAGCGGGGGGACCTTTTGCTGAAAGGGACTTACTCCTGAGTAGACATGGTAGAATCTTGCCTTAGGGAAAGATTTTGGAGGATTTGTAAGTGCCACACAGAATCTGCTTGCAGATGAATGTGATAATAGGGATCCTGCAGTAGCGGGAAAAGACTGTAGCATGGAACCACCCAGTGCAATAAAAAAATTCTGTTCACATCAACCAAGAATCCCTGTAGTATCTGGATCAAAACAGGCAATTTAGAGGTGCAGACATGTTCTCCATTTTCACCAAGACATTCTGTCTGCAGCAAACTAATAAGGCAGGAACTGTTAAGGGGATGTCTCGCAGAACCAGAAATGGGAATAATTTCAAACCAGACTAGTTGATAAAAAGCACATTTGAATTTCTGTCATCCCGCTGACAACAGAGGCAAGTGCTGGTAATTTCTAAGTTGGGAGAACTTTTTTGTAGCTGGACAGTTATTCACGGGGAGCCTGACTTGCATCCAGTTTGGTGTAGTGGTTAAGTGCACAGACTCTAATCTGGGAGAACCGGGTTTGATTCCCCCCCCCTCCACTTGCACCTGGCTGGATGACCTTGGGCAAGCCGTAGCTCTGATAAGGGCTGTTCTTGAAAAAAGAGCAGTTTCTGTCAAGAGCTCTCTCAGCCCCACCTGCCTCACAGGGTGTCTGTGGTGGGGAGGGGAAGGGAAAGGAGTTTGTAAGCCCCTCTGAGACTCCCTTGGGTAGTGAAGGGCAGGGGATAAATCCAATCTCCTCTCCTCCTCCTCATCCAAACATATCCTTGATTTACTGTTTCTTTCCTAGCATAGTTCTGATTAGTCTACATTTTCCTTAAGAAGGAAGCCATTTAAGAGGGCTAAAAAGGGCACCAGTGAATATTGTGCTCCCCCCCTCCCTCTGCGGTCTGGGCTGCTTTTGGTTGATATGTTGTTTCAGGTGCTGATGGTGCAGCCAAATGGCAAGCACCCACAGCAATAAAGCCAACAGGGAATCAGTATGCGTCTCCACTCTCCATGGAAAGGAGTCTGAAATACCACCCCAAGGGGTGTCGTGCATGAAATACCCAAGTATAAAGACAAACGCTGGACAATTTATTTGTTTCCTAGGGAAAACTAGCAGCCAATGTCCTTTGTTGTTGCCAGTCCTGCTTGGATAAGGAAATCATCTGTGGGTAAATGCATCTCACAAAACAAAGCCTCTTGCCCGCAGTCAAGATTAAGTTGACAAGCTCCCAGAGGATATCAGGATATTGCAGCCACAGTCACTCACCTCGCACCCCCCAGAGATAGCTATCCTGCTACTTTTTACAGGACAATATAACTTGAGACCAAAAAAGGTGAAAGCAGAATGTCACCCAATGTGCTCACAACTCATGTAATTCACAACTTGAACACAGAAAATAAATCAGAAACAGGGGATGCCAGAATGGTTTTCCCAGGAAATGTGAGCACAGGTTACCCTACCGAAAAAGGTTCCAAGAGATAGATGCAGAAAGCAAAAAGTCCAGGTTACAGAACTGCAGAAGACTCAATAGTCTTATCTATCTCAAGCTGAGAAAGAGAGCAAAGAACCTACCAAAGCCCTGTGAACTTAATAGGGGGGAAGAGTGAACCTCCAAAGCCTATCCTTATAGATTCCCACTTGGAGACAAAGCTGATTCACATCTCCTGAATGATGGATTCAACACTCTGTACTTCCCAATGACAATACACAGAGTTGGAGCCAAGCTTTTTCACTGACTTGCCGCCAATTCTCCAAAGTGCAGCCCCCCTCCCACATGGCTTTTGTACGTGCAGATCCCATGATCCCCAGCATAGCCTCTTTTTGGTGGTCAAAGGGAATCTCCTTTTTTTCCTCCAGGAGAAAAGCTGGCTGGATCCAATTTATAATTATGCAGATTCACTTAATCTGCAAATCTGCTTTTCAGGCCTCATTTGTTCCAATCCCGGATTTTTGTGCCAATTTTGGATTTTTCTTTGAAGACTAGGATGCACAGAGCCCTTTGAATAATTACCGGCATGTCCTTGGATTAAGCCTCAACAGAAAAGAAAGTCACTAGCAGGAGAGAGTTGATAACTGCTTTCCTAGCGGACACACAGAGAGAGCCTGCCCTGGGAATTATTCTAGACCCATTTTTGGCTTGCACTAAGCACAAACAAATGAATCATCTGGAACCGCTGGCCTTTTCACTCAGCCGTCTAGTGCCACAACAAAAGACTTTCCCCAGCTCCTATTAATCAGCAATTAATTGTGACCGAGTCAGATGGTGTGGCAAGGGGGGGGGGATGGATTTGCGGACATCTGCAAGACAAGAGGGCAAGGAAAAAGTGGGCCTCCCTATGAAGGCCACAACGGGGTGTCCCTGTCCAACATTTCATATACTGAGAATTTCTCCATAATGGTAATTCTAGCCCACCTGCCGTGGAACCAACTTTTGTGATCATACAAAGCTGGAGGCCCAGGAGGAGTTGCAAAAACAGGTGGGGAGGGAGTAAACCCTTTGGAAATCCAGCCCCCCAACCTAATCTTCCCTTCCAGATTATGTAAACTTTCAAAGGCTTATGCAGGGCGATTTCTTCTGCCCCCTTTTCCCCTTTAGCTGACATTCAACTGCTTTCAACATTCTGTCCCTTCTGGAGCCTTTTCAGACCTCAGGATTTCTTCCCCTCAGTCATATTTTTCTGCATGCCCGGAGTGTCCCCCACCCAGTAGGCAGAGCCCTTGCCTGTGGATGGTCACGTTTTTGGCTTTCATCATCCACACAGGGGCCAGCCAGTTTACAATTAGATACAGTGATTATGTTTGCTTTCCCCATGAATCAAACACACATTTTTAAGCAGACACTGAAAAACAGGCCTGGCTTTGCTGCTCCCACAGATTCTACGTTTTTTGGCGGAACAGCTGTTAGCTGCTGCATGTTTACTTAACACCCCGGCATTCCTTGCCAGCCTGCCCAGCTCCCATTGCCAAATTGCCCTTTTGTCTGAATCAGATGTACCAGGACTGCTCCAAGCTGCATTTCTAATAGAAGAGCTCCCGGGAACTGTTTGCACCGGACTCAGAGCCACAGGGAAGAAACTGACTCACCAGAGCTTGCCACCCTGTCTCTGGCCCAGCTGGGGAGTGTGGCAATTCAGCCGTCAACCTGCCTGCCTGCCTGCCGTTTCAGGCTCACAGAAGAGGTCACAGCTGTCGACTGTAGGATGAACCGTTCTCACTATTTCACAAATGATCTGCCTTGACCAAACTCTCAGATGAATTCTAAACACAAGGCTTCAGAGGGGTCATTATGGGGGGGGGGACTCACATGGAGCTGTGAGAGGGGGACCCAATTTGTAAGTCTCCCACCTGCCCCCCCCCAAACCTCCCCTGCTAGGAATATATAAGCTCTCAGGGACTTGAGCACCCCAGTTTTCCCCATCTCCCCTTACTGTATTCTCCCTCTATTGTGTGAGCCAGTTTGGTGTAGCGGGTAAGAGGGACGGATTCTAATCTGGAGAAGTGGGTTTGATTCCCCACTCCTTCACATGCAGCCAGCTGGGTGACCTTGGGCCAGTCACAGTTCTCTCAGAGCTCTCTCAGCCCCACCTACCTCACAGGGTGTCTGTTGTGGGGAGAGGCAGGGAAGGCGATTGTAAGTCGCTCTGAGACTCCCAAGTGAAGGGCGGGTTATATAAATCCAACTCCTCTTCTGCGTCTCTCAGTGTGCCATACTTCCTACAGCACACTCAA